AAAAAAATTGCTTAACTCTATTAAATACTAGATAAGAAAAATGCCCAATAAATTTACAATAGCAAAGTTGTGATTTGGTGACTCAAGGAACTATTAGGGATATACATGGAGAGTAATAAACAGAAACCAGTTCAAAATAGTCCAGGAAGCACATGGCTGAATGAGAGAAAATAGCTGCTCAGAAATAGCTATATAACCATAGAGAAAGAATTGGAATACACAGATGATTCTAATAATGAAAAAGTAATTACTTGCATTAAACACCTTATAATATGAATAAAAACTGCCATATGTGTCTATGTCTTACGTTGTACTGACCTAAAATCTTCATCCACTCTATTGAAGCGTGCCTGTTCTTTTGGCAATGCTCCACGGCCAAAAATGGGCTCCAAATACACCCACTTTCTCTGAATATGGTTTAAATTCTGCAGATACTCATCTAACTGTGCAAGTTTTCTTTCCCAAATTGACACTTTATCTTCAAATCCTTTATAATAAGGAGAATCCTTTAAGGACTGAAGAAGGCATCTATTATCTCCAACTTGATTTACTATATCTTTCCAGTCTTTAATCAGCTTGATGGTTCGTTTTTGGCTGTCTTCATAATCAGTCAATGTAAACACTGCTCCAACTCCCCAAAGATCAAGTTCACGTAAAGCTTCTCTGATTGTAACTTCACCATGTGCCCGACTATTTAAATCCTATTTAACACAAAATATCCATGTTTATAACTGCAACATTAATTATCATATAAATAAATTGTAAGAAGTCTAATTTATAAGATGATATATTTTTAAGTGGATATGTTTTAGAGGGTAAAAGAGAATTACTGGCTAATGTATCCATGAATATCAGATACAAAGTATCCAGGTTCACATGGTCAAAGTTCTGCGCCTTATGTTTTTTTACTTCTAAACAAGAAAAACAGAAAATTCAAGCATCGCCCTAACTGGTTTGGCTCAGTGGATAGAGCATCCGTCTGTGGACTGAAGGGTCCCAGGTTCGATTCCAGTCAAGGGCACACGCCCAGGTTGCAGGCTCCTTCCCCAATAGTGGGCGCGCAGGAGGCAGCCAATTCATGATTCTCCCTCATCACTGATGTTTCTATCTCTCTCCCCCTCTCCCTTCCTCTCTGAAATCAATAAAAAAAAATTTTTTTAAAGAAAATTCAAGCATCCATCACAAAATACAAAACAATCTGATTTAAAGTTTTGCATGTCTCAGACATTGTATGTAACTTAAGTGTAAGTTCTGATACATCTAAAGTGATTAGCAACCATCCCGATTTATCTTCTACACCAGTCACATTTATAACCTCACAATTATCTAAATATGTTCCAGGGTAATCAACAAACATACATTTTAGATAGGAAATAGTTCAATTTGACATCAGCAGTCCTTTTATTTCTATGCTAGAGGCCCAGTGCACAAATTCGTGCACAGGTGGGGTCTCTCGGCCTGGCCGGCAATCGAGGCCTATCAGGAGGCTAGCTGGCAGGAGGGAGGGGCTGCGGGAGGTTGGCTGTGGGAGCACACTGACCACCGGGGGGCAGCTCCTGCATTGAGCACCTACCGCCTGGTGGTCAGTGCATGTCATAGCGACTGGCTGACCAGTCGTTCGGTCTTAACGGTCACTTAGGCTTTTATATGTATAGATTGAATGGGCAGAACAAAACATTGAAAGTCTGCCACTTATGATAGAATTGTGACAAGTTTTACTTTTATCTGAAACCTTTTCTAAATCTGAGTGGCAAACTGGCTGTAGGTTTAACTACATTAATTTTTGTATCCCTTACCTTCTGTTTATAATACATCCCATGATTTTAAATGTATTACATGTAAAATAATTTGTATTTATTCATTTTTTTATTAAAGCTGACTCCCTTTCTAAAGACATTTTTTATTTCATATATTTTCTCTCTCTCAAATAAGAGGTTTATATTATTGTTTATATACTCTCATATACAGTGCTAGATATATTCAGATGTATTGCTACTGAAAGAATGATGGAATAATGGAACATTGTCACTACTCAAAGGGAAGAAAAAAATTTAACTTGCTTTTTTATTAAATAACCAAATATAAAGCAAAATCACATGCTAACAAAGGTCGGATATGTAAGATATTTATGAAAGTGATTCTTACCTTAAGGTCTGAAGCTTTGGCAACAATTGTATCAGCTAATCTGAGAAGATCACCAAACAGCAATTTCTCTAGACTAGTCCCCCTAGGAAGGCCAAGTAGACGAAAAAGGTCAAGCCAATGGTCTGGAGAAAGATGTTCCCCTCGCACATATTTCAAGATAGGAATTACCATCTGTTAAAAAAGGAAAAAAAGAAAGATCTATGTATATATATATGAGCAAAATGCAAATTTGTATTTATTGTAATTAGGTATAAAAATTTAATTATTCATCTTGTTACTACATAATAAAAAGATAATTTTTTAACAGAATGAGTAAAACTATCTTACTTTATATTTGTCAACTTCTGATTGTAATTTCACTGTCATTACTGAATGTTCTTCAGCTTTTCTTAATTTGTCATGCCAAGTCATCAAAAATTCCTCAAACAGATATGTCTTAGTCCTATAAAATACCAGAAACACACCTTAAAACTTACATCCCAAAAAGCACTACCAAATCATAAAAATCTAAATATTATTTATGAATCAAACCGAAAAGTAATCCAATCTTCATTGGCCATTTCCTGAAATCCTTGCTGAAACTCCTCATAAAGAGCCCAAATTTGTGCACAGCTCTCAATGTCTTTAGAAATGCTGTATGCCAAAGAGAAGTTAGGCTCTTCTAGTCCAAAATGCTGGCAATCATCACTATTAAAAAAAATAATGAAATATCATTAAATTTTAAAAGAAGGAAAATTGTTAAATATCATTATTTAACTGTATTCCGTGTGTGTGTGTGTGTGTGTGTGTGTGTGTGTGTGTGTGTGTAAGCTTGTGTGTTTGATAGTGGAGGTACACAGTGGGAGACTATGCCAACTCTTTTACTTAGGCATGAGCTTTTCTAAATTCATTAATATGCATTTTTTACAAGGGAGTTAAAGCAAAGTTGGTAACATATATAAATATATTTTATGTGCATTATATGTTATGTGATATGTAATTTACATTCATAATTGTATATATTTACGGATTATATGTATATATTTACGGATTATATGAGAATATTCTCAATTGAAAGGGTTCGCTTTTAGAATATAAGATATCCTTCATTTAATTGGTGTAATACCATTTAATAAATGTGATACTAAAACTTCTACTCACCTATGAAAGCAATTAGTTTAAGGCTACATTTGCCTAAATAATCAAAAATAAAACAATGCTCAAAATTTAATACTTTGTATCATTATAACATAAAACAATAAATTTTTAATTTGAGGTCTCTTTTTATTATTTTACTAGGTTCATTTTTTTCCTCTGAGCCCTGAAAGTCATTTACCATTCATTTTATATATTCCTTTAAAAAAAGATGAGATCACAGAAAGTAATAATTCCAACTCCCGAATTTAACTTTTCAATAAATTTAATTTTCTGTTCTATTTTTAGACCTAACCAGAATTTGCTTTTCTTTTATATCCTTTTATAATCTAACCACAACTCCTAGGAAAGCAGTAGCATGATCACTTATTATTTGTATCTTAAACTATTGAAATTTATAAGGAAAGACATAAAGATAACAGATATAAAAAAATTACTAACTTAATATATAAGATTTTTTTCAAATGAGTACTATCAGTTTTAAAGAAAAAAAAACATACACCAGTTTTTTTCTTATGACTTCAAGATCATCAAACTCAACTTTCTTCTCTTTTATTAACTTTGCACTCTCATCGAGGGTATTTTGCTGGCCAGTGTCAATAACATCATCGCTGGGCTTTAGTTGGTCCCAACGAGCTTTAAATTTTTCCAATTCTTGGTAATAGATCTGAAGACGTGATTTCACATTTCCTTTCATCACTTCAATCTATAAGCCAACAGAGTTTATATAACTTAATTCAGAGTAAAATCTCACTTCATTTTCACATTTTTATTTCTATTTTCTATTTAAATGAAAAATATCAATACTAACTTTTCAAATGATTTTTAATTAATTTAAGTGTAAAAAAATAATTCAGATGCATAAAATTAGACCACAAATTTAAATTAAGAGATAATCCACAAACATCATCATTAGGAAATCATTCATGTGATTTCAGCACCCACTAGCAAAAAACTAATGTGATTTAAAAAAAAAAAAGGTTGTTTAATGACTGCCAGTTGTCCTACCTGAGGGCCTTTCCCAATCTCCCATACAGCTAAAGGGCATAAGACTAAATTCTGGTCAATGGGATATGAGTGCAATAGATATGTGCAACTTCCAGGCTGTACCCTTAACAGATACCATACACAGTCAGTAAACAAAATAATTCATAAGAAAGTATAAAAATAACATTACATGTATTCTTGAAAGGCAGGAAGTGAAGATAAACTACGTGAAAAGATCATCATAAAGTGTTGCATTATATAGAAATCCTGAGGGAAGTCAATTTAATCAGCAATATAAAATTCTTATAAACTTGAACTACAATGCAAGAAATCTTGTGAGAAAAAATTAAGTTTCCATTCCAACAAAATGACTAAAAGAATCTTACCTGATCTTTAATCATAAGTTGGTGACTTTCCATCATCAACTCAAATTTATCCCATTTAGCCTTCAGATTGCTAATTGTTTCTAAACCTCCGCCTGCCACAGTTCGTAAAAGTCTGTTTTTATCTTCAGCTTCTTGAAATAAAGGCAAAATCTAAAGGTCGAAGAAATGAAAAAAAATCACTTTTTTAATTCCATTCATTTTAATTTTTGTTTCATGATTTGCTTTTTAAAAATCAAGATTTGCTTTTAAATAATTTCTTTTAGTTTCCTTAAATTTCTGGATATAAAGTTTATAATGTTTATTTATTATTATTATATACAAACTCAACCAAGACAGCCTGACATTAGAAATTTAAAAAGTAGAATAAAAGTGGTAACATAAGGCTGAATAAAACTGTAAATCCATAAAGATAATAATATAGCTGTTCAAAGTAAAATTCTTATTATAAATATTGCATACATAAGAAAATGCTAAAAAGATTTCTAGAAAAAACTGAAATTAGTGATTACCTAAGAATATAATTAAATATCCTAATTAATAAAGAAAGAAAAGCCCTGAAAAAGGGTACTTAAGAAACTGACAACTGAAGAAGTAAAATCAAGCTCCTGCATTCTGTTTCTACTCGAAATGTCCCGAGTCGTGTACAGTTAGCAGTTTGTTCAATGGTCCAGGTATAGGAATAGGTGCCAAACTGCTTGAACGGATTAAGTTTTTTAAAGCACTATAAAACAAGTGTCCTATAAATTAATACTGTACTTTTACTAATCAACAAAGCAATAATATCCATAGAAGGATTTTTTAAATCACTGTGCTTACATAATAATAGACAATATTTGCTTAGAATGATCTGCCTCAAAATCTCAGCCTGGTTTGTTTGCTGCTTACCTTCCAGGTCTCAGTTCAGAAGTCATCTGTCTGAGAAGGTCTTTCATAACCACCTACCCAGTTGAGCATGCTTGCTCTTTCACTTCTCTTGCTCCTTCTCCCCAATTTCTCCGCTCCCTCTTCTTCTCCCCCCTTCCCCTCTCCCCTTTCTTCCCCCACACATGAATGTGCATTCCATGAGAACAGAGCATGTTGACTGCTGCAATCCCTACACACATCTAGTGACCCATAAATATCTGTCAAATAAACAAATGAGTGAGTGCCTCTGTGCTTTCACTAACTGCCACTCCTCATAATTCCATTCCTTCTTTAGGTAATCCCTTCTACTAGACAAATACATTATTTTATTTGCCTTTAAACCCTCATTTATACCATTAAGCCTTATATATCATAAAAAAATTTGTAATTCCTCCCACCATGAAGATATATTACTTTACTCACCCTTAAACTCTCAATTTTAAGCCTAACACATAGTAGGGGCACATAAAATTTATATTCTGATTTGAATTATTTCTCCTCCTTCCTCTAAACATAACTAAAATCATCCATAATAAGTTTTATAAAACTTTGGCTTGCCTCTTCTGGACTCTACCTTTCTGGATATGTTGTTATAAATCTTTACCACTCTGTTACCTTTGTCTCTAATTATGAGCTCCTCCATTGTGTGTGTGTGTGTGTGTGTGTTTCTCATTCAGCTCTAACTTTACACTTTACCATGCTAAAATTACAACCCTTGAAGTAGCAGCATGAATTATTTAAATTTAGCCTTATTCTAATATGCCACATCATAAAATAGACTGCAAATTTTTCTGAAGCCAATAATAAGCATTTTTTCATTGTTGACAGTATTACATATGCCCCCCTTTTTCCCCCTCTACCCAGCCCCTACCCCACCCCAGGCCTTTAGCACACTGTTGTCTGTGTCCAACGGCTATGTATATCTACACTAATAAAAGAGAAACATGCAATTGGTGTCACTCCGCTACGCCCACCAGCCAATCAGGATGAGTATGCAAATTAACCCAACAAAGATGGCGGTTAATTTGCATATGCAGGCACAGAGCAAAGACTGAAGGCTCCGCCCGAGCGAAGACTAAAGACCACTGAAGATTGAAAACAACTGAAGACTGAAGATAACTGAAGACTGAAGACGACTGAAGACTGAAGAGGCTTGGCTTCTCTGCTGCGGCCAGAGCCAAGGCCTGGGTCCCGGATGCCGGAGGAAAACCGGTGCCAGCAGCCAGGGGAAGGAAGGCCTATTGCACGAATCTCTTCATGCAATGGGCCTCTACTATGCATATAAATTCTTTCGTTAATCTCTTCCAGCCCCCTTATCACCCTCCCCTCTGAGCTATGTCAGTCTGTTTCATGCATCCATGCCTCCGGACCTATTTTGTTCATCAGTTTATTTTGTTCATTAGATTCCACATGTAAGTGCGATATTTGTCTTTGTCTGGCTTATTTACGTAGCTTGGCATAATAATCCTCAGGTTCATTCATGATGTCACAAAGGGTAAGAGATCATTCCTTTTTAACACTGGCATTATTGTTACTGTTTCATTATACCAACATAATATCAAGTGTCCAATCATGAACTAACCATTTGGACTAGATTAAATGGACATCATTATATATTGAATTATATGCAATTTCTAAATCGCCACAAAAAAAATACCTAATTTAAACATCTCCAGTAAATAAGATAAATTTTAAACTTTCTTTGTAATTCTCACCTGTGGCTTCTGTTCTTGTAGCTTACTATACTGCACATTTGCATTACCTATCTCTTCCACAGACTGGGGCATAATTGATAAGACTTCCATAGCTTCACTGACAAATGCATCAATTTCATGTAAATGAGCTGAATAGGTAACATTAAAATATAAGAAATGTTATTACCAACAAAAATATTCATTTACATAATTTCTAAATCAAGAAGAATTAGAAATAATTTAATAATATACATTAAATCCTAAGTTATAATTTGCTTTCATAAAACATAATTTCAAAATATAGAATAAAAAGAAATTTTATCAAAGAAATTTCATTGCATGAAAGTTGATTCACATTGTACTCTAAAATTTTGAGTAAAAAGTTAAAATATACTCATTCTTAGTAAATTTTACTCAAAATTAGGAAATTTTTCAGTCTTTTAAATATGCAAAAATATCTCAGTTTAAAGAAAACAAGAAACAGTGTAATATATTGTAAAATAGTAGTCATTTGAAGAATAAGAAGAAACACATTATAGCAGAATTACCTACCTTTCTCAGTAACATATGTAACAAACTGATACTAGACTCAAATAATAAAAATGCCTTCAATTTTTAGACCTCTTAGGAGTTGAACATGGATTTTACTGCTTTCTTAAAGTTATCATTTTAAGCACATTTCATTTCATACTTTCTATATCAGTTTTTATTTTAATTTTCACTGAGATTCATACTTCATAACTATCAAAGTACATGTCTCTATATATATAAAATTAAGTAAAAATAAAAATGTCTTTACCCTGGACAGACTTCTTCAAAGAAAGCACAAGCACATCAAATAACTTCTGGATGAGGTCATCAATCACAGTCTTCACAGGGCTACAATTAATATTTAAGCAGTCTACCTTGACAACACTGGAAAATGCCAATGGACACATTTTAACATGAAAAAGAGAAATTAGAGAAAAAAGACTCGCATTATAATATTATCATTCTGTGCAATACATTTTCAAATGTAACTCAAAAGTATTAGTATGATCTTTAAGCACATTTACATTTCATTTAGAAAAAATGCCATATACATACTATTATGAGTTTTCATTTATTTTGTTATAATATTACAGGTTTGGGGGTTTTTTAAAAATATTTTTATTGATTTCAGAGAGGAAGGGAGAGGTAGGGAGATAGAAACATCAATGATGTCTACTGGGGATGGAGCCCACAACCCAGGCATGTGCCCTTGACCAGAATCAAACCCAGGACCCTTCAATATGCAGGCTAATGCTCTATCCACTGAGCCAACCAGCTAGGGCTATATTATTACAGTTTTGATCATCCATAATGTTTATAAAAAAGGCAGCAATTACAAATTACTAATGTATCAACATGAATATATTTAAATATTCACAAGATATACTTGTCACAGCATGTAACATACATTTTTAAAATACTTATAAAATATATTCACTATTCTGCAAAGTATAAACAATAATGATAAGGGAAAGAAAATAAGGGTAGAAAGTGAATATAGATTATTAAACAAAAAAAATAACATTTATACCTACCAAAATAACAAAAATATAATGAATTGTTAATTCATGTGTTCAATTCTGTGGGCAAACAGAGCTCTCAGATTTATTGGCAATAGTTTTAAAAAAATGCAACTTTTTCCCGGCCAGTGTGGCTCAGTGGTTGAGCATCAACCTATGAAACAGGAGGTCACAGTTCGATTCCTAATTGGGGCACATGCCAGAGTTGCAGGATCGATCCCCACTGTGGGATGTGCAGAAGGCAGCCAATCAAGGATGCTTTCTAATCATTGATGTTTCTATCTCTCTCTCCCTTCCTCTCTGAAATCAATAAAAAACATACATTTTTAAAAATGCAACTTTTGTGAAGAGCAAATTAGCAATATGTATCCAATACTTTTAAAACAGGCATCATGCTCTTTGTCTTATAACTTCACCTTCAGAATTTATCCTAAGGAAATTTTCAGGGCAGACTCCAAGATTATATACAAATATTAATTATAACAGTGAAAAATTAGAAATAAGCCAAATGTAGGAATGACTAAATTACTGTATATTCACACAATTAAAAACCACATTTTTGAGAACTAGGTAATAACATGGAAAAATACTATTGAAATAGTGTTAAGTAAAAATAGCAAAATATAGTATGATCCAAATTTTCTAAGTACATAGACGTACTAATATTACAAAATGGGTGGGAAAGGTACTTTATTTTCAGTGCTTTAAAGTTGATAGTTACAGAACAGTCAAGGGGATGTAAAGTTCAGCATAGGTAATATAGTCAAAAATACTATAATTACTATGTATGGTGTCAGTAGGTACTAGTTTTATCAGGGTGATCACTTTGTAAGTTATATAAATGTCTAATCACTGGGTTGTACACCTGAAACTAATATAATCTTGTATATCAACAGTAATCAAAAATTTTAAAACTATTTTTAAAAATTATAAAACAAATGCAGTATTTTAATAATCAGGAAAAATGGCATGTGTTTTTAAGAACACTAATTCTTTGCATGGTACTCTCAATGCAAATTTTAATGTTCTAAACAAACAGAGGTTGAATCAGACTTGTTCACCTGAGGAAAATCTCATATAAGGGCTAAATTATACAAAGTTAACAAAAAAAATCTGTCTTCTTCATCTTTGTACTCTCATAGGACAAAATTCTACATGTTATAAATGCTCACTAAATATTTATAGAAAGAATAAAAAATGAATTAATAAAAATGGTATTTTCCTTTACAGATACTATATGCATAATTGAACAAGGCCTTTCATAGAGCTTATTATAAAGTGGTTCCAGTTATATGAATTTCAGATGGTGAGGGGGATATATTCTCAAGTAACTGGTTTATGAGATGCCCCTCTGAGGGTTTCCTCCACATTTAGGGCAATACTAGGTGCAGCACTATACTGTGTGCCTCCCAGGGCATCTGGAAGGAAACAGAGCAGCACTAAAGCAGAGTCGAATGTCATCAGTTTTCTATCCTTTGCTGTGCTCTCAGCAGTAGCTTCTTAGCATTCTTAGACAGTGCCTATGCGTATCAAATATTAGATCCTCATGCCAAATCCGTATAGAATCCTCCTCCCCAATCTAGTCTACCCAAATATGTTCCACCAACAGAGCCTCAGAAGAGAACCTTCTCAGTGTCAACAGCCCTACTCAGATGCTATTCAAGTGTCACAGCTGAGCTCGAGGAGGTGTGAACTGATTTGACTTCTTGCCACTAAGTGAAGAGTACTGTCCCATGGCAAAGCTGTCTGGTACATAAGAACTATCACTTTAACTTCTCATACCTTGGAAGTCGTTCTACTTCTTTTCCTTTTATTTTCAGTGCTTTAAAATTTTTTTCCCAATCATGAACAGTAGAAAGATGCTTTTCCACGAGAGCTTCCATATCAACTTGCCCAATTATAATCCATTCCTAAGAATGAAAAATATCATTAAAGAAATAGTACTAATAAGTTAGCATTTTAAAGTTTATGGTTCAACTATTAATATACATTAGGGTCTAACCAATAAAAAGGGACAAGTGTAATTGTAAGTAAATTTCAACTTAAGTATATAAATACAATCATTACTATGCATCTAAAGAATGAACAGGGGAAACATCTATCTACACTAATAAAAGAGAAACATGGTAATTAGCGTACAACCACTACCCTTCCCATTGGCTAATCAGCATATCCTTATGCAAATTAACTGTCAGCCAAGATGGCAGCCGGCAGCCATGCACTGAAGCGAGCAGGGAGGCTTGCTTGCTCCAGTGACTGCGGACTCCAACGTTCCCCGCCTGCCGCTGCCGGCCTCTCAGCTGCAACTCTAAGCAACTATGTACTATGTTGCAAATAAGAAGCTAAACAAAACCCCAGAAACCAGCCGGACTGAAAGCCAGCCTGACCGCAACATTGTATCGATGTTTTCAGCAGCGAGGCCTCAGAGCTAAAGCTGGCCCAGAATAAAGAAAAAAAAAAAAAACAAGGAGCGGTTGGAAGCTTCAGTCACTCGCCAGCCGGAAAACAGCCCTCAGCTCCTCACCCAGATTGGCCAGGCACCCCAGTGGGGACCCCCACCCTGAAGGGTGTGTGACCAGCTGCAAACAGCCATCATCCCCTCATCCAGGCTGGTGAGGCACCCAAGCGTGACCCCCACCCTGATCCAGGACACCCTTCAGGGCAAACCAGCCAGCCCCCACCCATGCACCAGGCCTCTATCCTATATAGTAAAAGGGTAATATGCCTCCCAGCACCGGGATCAGCGTGACAGGGGGCAGCGCCCAAACCCCCTGATCGCCCTGCGGCTCTGTGTGTGACAGGGGGCGGGGCCACAACACCCTGATCAGCCCTGCTCTGTGCCTGATGGGGGGGAGCTCCCCAATCCCCTGATCGCCCTGCAGCTCTGTGTTTGACAGGGTGCAGCGCACCAACCCCCTGATCGGCCCTGCTCTGTGTGTGACAGGGTGCGGCGCCCCAACCCCCCCCCCCACGGGCCCTGCTCTGTGTGTGACAGGGTATAGCCATAACCTCTCCATCGGCCCTGCCCTGAGTGTGACAGTGGCGGCTCCCCAACTCCCCAATCGGCCCTGCTCTGAGCCTGACCAGGGGCTGCACTTAGGGATTGGGCCTGCCCTCTGCCACCCAGGAGCAGGCCTAAGCCAGCAGGTCGTTATCTCCCGAGGGGTCCCAGACTGCAAGAGGGCACAGGCCAGGCTGGGGGACCCCCTCCCCCCCCCAAGTGCACAAATTTTTGTGCACCGGGCCTCTAGTATATATATAAGCCTAAGCGACCAAACTACCGAATGACCATTTAACCAGTCACTATGATGCACACTGACCACCAGGGGGTAGATGCTCAATACAGGAGATGCACCCTGGTGGTCAGTGTGATCCCACAGTAGGAATGCCACTCAGCTGACTGACGGGCACCAGACTCCAGGCTCACAGCTCGTGAGCGCAGCTGCACAAGCCTCTCATGGCTCCATGGCAGCGCGCTGAGCAGCAGCAGCAGGCGCAGCAGGACTGGAATGAGCAGGAGCAGCGTGCCGCCCAGCCCAGGCACTCGGGCTCCTCCCCAGCTCCCTGCCACTTCGCGTACTGCTACATCCTTCGGGGGATGTCAGATTGCAAGAGGGTGCAAGCCAGGCTGAGGGACCCCACCGGTGCACGAATCTGTGCACCTGGCCTCTAGTGACAATATAAAAATAGAGTGATCATAAAACTTTGTTGAAGAGACCTAAAAAACCCTTACTTTATATTCTCTTATCAAATTTGATGTATACTAAGACAGACTCACTACTTTTAAGCCAAGAGCCACTCCGAGCTTCAAATCTGAAAATATTCATATTCAATTTATTCTAGAAATTTAAAACGCAGAAGCATTGCAGTGGCAGTTAAAAAACTGGTTGAATTCCTAGTCATAGTCTTAGAATCAATATCAATGAGCAATGAATGCAATTAGGGTTTATCTTTAGAGTTAGTGGTAATAATACACTTAAACAAAAGCAAAATGTTTAATCATATCATCTCAATTTCATTCACTTCAAAGGCCTCCCTCCATGGATTGCTCTTGTTCCAAAGAATGAAGAAAATGATATATTTCCCTAAAAGGAATTAAAATTGGCACAACATTCCAAGTTGACAGAACAATCTTTTAAAAAGCTACTTTCTCAATCTTCAAATAGTCAAAGATATAAATCATCTGTCGCAAAAACCTACCCTGTATAAGAATCCTTAATCCCAGCTTTCTGGTTTGCGATATTTTTATTTTATATCACACAATGCAAATTATTGGTTTGTATATGTAATACTAATTCAACCAACCAGGTGAAATATTATAACAGAAAGATGAAAAATTACATGTTCCATACCTTATGTTGGTGTAAAACAGCCGACAATCTCCTAAATAAATCTTCTGCTTTTCTGAAAATAGTCAGAAATCCACTTGCATTTCTATCAATCATAATAGAAAAAATAGATTCATCTCCTGCCTCACCCACTCCCTTAAACTGATTAGGAATGCCGATAAATCTCTTCATTTCTCTGTAATATTTAGCACGGATTTCTTCAAAAGGAGGCCTGAATTGTAACCGTCCTTGTCTGCAAGTAAATAAGTAACTTTAAGATATAAGTTATTAGAAAATTTTAGAATGAAAAATAAACTGGGTTTCAAAAAAATCTTACTTGTACAGTAAGTCTATATTTATTTCAGGAAGATTCTCATTAAGTGCTTCTAAGCCCATCTGATACTGATGCTCCAGAGCTTTGTACAGCTGATGATTCCAGTGCAGCTTCCACGCATGCATGTCACTTGCTTGGAATCCCTAATATGTTATATTTACATTTTTTATTTAAAAATTAGGTAGTAGAATGAGGGTTAATGCTTTCATATCATATAGAGTAAAATTATAAGCAATCAAAAACTTATTTTTAAATATCTTAAAACAAGCAACTCCTTAATTACTACTTGAAGTATGAGAGGTTATATAAAGTCAAACAAGAAAATCGCTAATTTTCATGTTTATAAATGGAATACAAAAATCAGTAAAAATTTTAAAATTAAGTTATAAATATAAGTAGATTTTAGAATCAGACTTTATATTTACAGTAAAAAGAACAACAGTTTTTTTGTGAACTTTTTAGTCCTTTTTCAAAAATCCCCATCGAGTATAGCTCTTTCCTTCCCTTCTCACTCCCTAAATAAACCTTCCACATTTTAAAACATGTTAAGTTTAAATATTAAAATGCTCATGATAGTTTATATAATCTTTTGCTTCCATATAACCATCAATATATCAATTCTAACACTTTAATGTTTGGGGTTTTTTTCTTAAAGTTCTAAGAACTAAAACATATATGCAGCCCAGCCGCGCGTAGGTCAGTGGTTGAGCGTCCAACTATGAACCAGGAGATCACAGTTCAATTCCTGGTCAGGGCACATATCCGGATTGCAGGCTCGATCCCCAGTAATGGTGTGCAGGAGGCAGCTGATGAATGATTCTCATCATTGATGTTTCTATCTCTCTCTCCCTCTCCCTTCCTCTCTGAAATCAATAAAAATATTTTTAAAAATGTATAAGACACCTAACTCATATTCAACCAACATCCCACATACTATATGTGGCAGGCACTGTGCTAACTGCTTTTCCTTACATCATTTCTTATATAAAAATGAACTGAAATTTTGCTCAAAAAAGGAAAAAGTTCTAATACAGAGTTATTTCAATCTTTAGGCTTCTGCCTAAACTTAACTTTGTGTTCTACAGATGTCACAATTACCTTAAAGAAAACTAATGAATGATAAATAGTTAAGAACCACATTAGAAAAACTATAAACTCTGAGTTGAGAGATTTGTTATTCCGTAAGACAAATAGAAATTTCTTATATTTTTAAATGTAAATGCATTGTTATTTTATGGTCTTTATGTATAATTCAATCAAATTCTAATTTTATCAGTAATTTATTAGTAAAGGTTTATAAATAACCTTGATAAACTTTTCAGCAATTCATATATTCTCTGAAACGGTCGTATTTCAAAGTGTAGACATATTTCAAAGTAAAACATACTCTACCTGTGCTTCTACACTTGCTAAGCCAGTTCTCAATTCCTGTAATCCATCTTTCCAGCGTTGTTGTTGCCGAAGAAGATCAATATTCATAAGAATTACCACCTGTTAAAAATTAGAGCGGTCTCAAAGTATCACCTGAAATGGTAACTTTTCAGTGGAAAACCTGGACAGACACAACTTTAAGTGATCCAGGTTAACTCAACCTAAAGTATGACATACCAATACCTGATCAATGCACTGAGAAAGGCGAAACAGCACTTCGGTGACATTCCAGCCCAAATGGCACAACGCTAACTTAATCATGAGAAAATACCATATAACCCAAATCTAGAGATAATCTACAAGATCAGTGACAAGTAAGTACTCATCAAAAGTTTCAAAGTCATGAAAAACAAGCAAAGACTGAGGAGAAGGAGACTCCAGAGACTCAGCAACTAAATGCAAGATAGGATCCTGGATTGGATCCTTGAAAAAGAAAAAGGAATAGTGGAGAAACTGCAAAATTCAAAGTCAGCTTATTTCCTAGTTTTGTTAACTCTAATATGGTTAAATAAGTTCTTAACAGGGGACGTTGGACAAAGCATAGTATAAATGAACTCTGTTCTATTTTTACAACTTTAAGTCTCAAATTATTCCCAAGAAGTTATTTTAAATTATATTCTAATTACTTTAAACAATACTATTCATAGCTCATTCAATTTTATAAAGTATACCTTTTCACAAAACGTAGTGTGCCATTTTCTCAGCTTTCTATTTTCAGTGGCAAGTCGGTCAGCAGCACTTTGGAGCTTTTGGATGTAGCCTTCTAACTCACCGGGATTATCCCAAGTAATCTGTGACTTTCCCCCACTTCCAGCTTTTGAATTCTAAGGTACAACAAATGGCATTTAGTATTTAAATGCATTACTTTTTTCCCAAAAAATTCCATATTCTACATCATAAGTCCAATAATTCCTAAAACCGACCTGCAATAAAAAGAGCATAATAGCCCTAACCAGTTTGGCTCAGTGGATAGAGCGTCGGCCTGCAGACTCAAGAGTCCCAAGTTCGATTCCGGTTAAGGGCATGTACCTTGGTTGTGGACACATCCCCAGTGGGGAGTGTGCAGGAGGCAGCTGATCGGTGTTTCTCTCTCATCTCATCGATGTTTCTAACTCTCTATCCCTCTCCCTTCCTCTCTGTGAAAAATCAATAAAATATATTTTTTTTTAAAAAAGAGAACATAATATTCCCATTTTATAAATGATAAGGCAATCTGATCAACATTGAGTAGCCTCATTCCTTCCAGGCCCTCTTACAAGTAAAAAACCCTGTACCTAACATAACAAACAATCATAGGAAAAGTGAAAGGCAGAAATAAGAAATAGACAGTGAACCAATCTTGCAAATTAAGGAACAAGATACCTTTCCCTACTGTCTCCATATCTCCAGGAAAGGACACTGGAGAAGCCTCCAACCTAGAGGGTCAGACAAATAAAGCTCCAGAAAACGCCTATTTCTTCTCACCAAAGGCCTAGGAAAACAGTAGCCTACCAGAAAACCCTTTAGCAATACCCACCCTGCTCAAGCCAACACCAATAAAAAACACCTCTCTGATATTTCAGTGAGACCAAGTAGAGAGTTGATCTTCCCTCCCCTGCTTAGCAAAAGCAGGCAGCACTCAAACTCCCCTGCCAAGGTAATGTCGATGGGCTGAACTATGCTACTTCTCATGAGTTTCCTAAATCATATTAGATTACTGAAATGAAAATTTTATAACAACATCTGATGTTGTGCTCTGCATATGTAGAAGGAATACTTAAGACAAATATGTAAGAGGGAAGAGGATAGAGAGACATAAAAGAAGGTTTCTATACCAATTGAAATAGTAAGGAATAGCAAGTTTCTGGAATACAGAAGACCCTCAATAAATAGATAATGAGTAAATTAAATTAAAATATCCTATATAATAAAAGCCTAATATGCAAATTGTCCACTCAGGCGGTCGTTCGACCGGGAGTTCGACCACTCACTATGATGTGCGCTGACCACCAGGGGGCGGCGCAGAACATGGCAGGTGTTGGCAACACAGCGCTGGCAGTGGGCGGCAGTGGACGCACTGCCGGTCCTGATGGACCCTGATGAGAGCGGGACTGCAGCGGGATGGTGGAACAGGTGAGCAAGCAGTGCCAGGCCAAGGCGGGTGCAAGTGGAGGCCTGATAGACCCACCGATCGCCTGCAGACAGTGACCAGCAGTGGCAGAGGGGGGCAGGGCCGCCACCCAGCTCCCAGGCGCTAAGGGAGCCGGGTAGGGGGCCCAGTCCCAATTGATTGCTCCACAGACAGGATGGTGGAGCAGGTGAGGGGGCAGCGCCAGGTCAAGGTGGGATGCCAGATGGGGCTACAGGGCTGTGAGGCTGTGGCCACGAGCTGAGGCCACAAGGCTCGGGGCGCGAGCTGGGGCCCGATCTCCGTGGGGGGGGGGTCTCCCAAGGGACCCCACCCATGCACGAATTCATGCACCGGGCCTCTAGTTATACAATAAATTCAATAAAATACTCTGTGAATCAGTTCTAAAGCATTTATTGATAACTAGAGGCCCAGTGCACGAATTTGTGCACCAGTGGGGTCCCTCGGCCTGGTCTGCAGGATCAGGCCGAAACCGGCTCTCTGACATCCCCAGAGGGGTTCTGGGTTGCAAGAGGGCACAGGCCAGGCCGAGGGACCCCACCGGTGCACAATCGGGGCCAGGGAGGGACATGAGAGGTTGGCCAGCTGGGGAGGGACCGTGGGAGGGTTCCAGGGCGTGTCCGGCCCATCTCCCTCAGTCCCGATTGGCTGGACCCCTGGTGGTCAGTGCATGTCATAGTGAGCGGTTGAGTGGCCTTAGCATATCATTAACATATTATGCTTTGGTGGTTGAACAGCCGACCGGACGACCAGACACTTAACACATTAGGCTTTTATTATATAGGATTATTACATGGAAGTTAACATTGTATTCCTTGAGAATATGAAAATAGAATCCTTCCAATATACTACAAGATAGTGAGTGGTCAGAGAATTATTATTATTTTTGTTATTGTTAATCCTCACCTGAGGATATTTTTCTCATTGATTTTTTTTTTTTAAGGAAGTGGAACAGATGGGTAGAGACAGAGAGAGAAACCGGGGCCAGGGATTGAGCCTGCAACCGAGGTACATGCACTTGACCATAATAGAAACCACATCCCTTCAGCCCAAAGGCCAACACTCTAACCACGGAGCCAAACTGGGTATGGCATGGCCAAAGAATTACAAAGAACCTCAGTGTTCTCTCTCCTCCTATCTCAGTGTTTTATCCACCACTATGTCTCATTTAACATGTTACATATAAGTATTTAGTTCTCACAACCCAATTTCTTAATATGAGTTTTCTCTTCAGAAATATGAAGATATTATTTTTTGTTGTTGTTGTTAATCCTCATCCAGGGATACTTTTTCCATTGATTTTTAGAGAGAGTGGAAGGGAGGGGGAGATACAAAGAAAGAGAAATATCAATGTGAGAGAGACACATCAATTGGTTGCCTTCCGCACACACCCCAACCAGTGATGGGGTTCAAGCATGCAACCAAGGTATGTGCACTTGACAGGAATCTAATTCACAACCCTCAGTCCATGGGCCGATGCTCTAACCACTGACCCAAACCAGCAAGGGCTCAAGATATTATTTTGAATACATTTATTAGAAAAGAAAAAGCTCTAAAGGCTTACAATTGAAATAACCAATGGACACAGACACTAGGGAGGGGGAGGGCATGTGTTGGGGGGTGGGAGTGGCCAGGGAGAGGTCAATGGGGGGGAAAGAGACATATGTAATACTTTAATCAATAAAGAATTAAAATATATATATTCTATATATTAGGTGAAAAGATCAAAATAATGAAATACGATCCCAATTCCAAAAAGTACACTTTTAAATATACATAGAAAGCAAAGTTTAAAAGGCTATACACCAGACTATTGAGAACAGCCATCTCTTGGTGGTAAGATTAGAAGACCATTTTGTTTTGTTTTGTTTTTATCTTTTTGTTTAGTTAAATTTTTTAATTTTTCCATTATAAACTTGTATTGAGCTTTGGCAACAGGAAAAATGGTTTTTATAATATCTGTAAATTTTTTATAGGTTTTATATAAGTTTGTGTATAGATTTCATGTAGATCTATATAACTTCTAGTTCATTTTAAGCCTGAGTACTAGTGTGCAGAAAAGAGTTAACATAGCAAGTCTGATTATCATCCCTTAAAAAGCCTCCTTAGGAGATCAGCCCTTAACAAGCAGCTGGGAACTTGGAGTTTGGGAGGGTTCCCACCACACTAATTTTAAGAGTGGCTCGCGGTACCTAAACAATACGGTTTATGCTGGACGCCTGATTTTCTTCAGGGGACCTGGAATTTTGGTACATACTGGGCTGAAGAATCCTACATGACCAGCCCCTAATTAAAACCTGGGCACTAAGTTGCTAATGACCTTCCCCAGTAAGACAACAGTGCACTGTTACAACTTGTTGCTGGGAGAATTAACCATGCCCCGTGCGACTCCACTGGGAGGACTCTTAAAAGCTCCCACCTGGTTGCCCCAGGTCTTCACCCCACGCACACTTCTTCTCACTGATTTTGCTTTGCAGCCTCTCACTGTAATAAATTACTGCCGTGGGTACAGCGAAGCCTGGTGGATCCTGTGAGTCCTCCTAACAAATCACAGAACCTGGGCGCAGTCTCAGGACCATGACACAACTAGTTATCTACTCTCAAGTAATACTTTCAACAATAAAGATTTTAAATTAAAAAAAAAGAATAAAAGGGTAAAAAGAGAAAAGAAAAAAAGAATAAAAGGGCATATTCTTCTTCTACATAATTTTTCAAATATATCATGTTTAAGAACACTAAAAATGTAGATTTCAAAAGGCTAACAATCACATAGTAACATCTACATTTAAAATTGTTGTGGGTGTTCCTAATTTCATATGTGTGAATATTTCAATAAGCACAAAGAGCAAATAAATCTTAAATTTGTCTTTGTTACTGGTTCATAAAAACTCATTTATGATTAAAGATATTAACCATTTGTCATGCATTCCAAATTCAATACCATGTTTTTGTTATTGCTTAACTGTGGAGTTTTAATTTTTAGTTGTACAGAAGTTGTGTATTGAAATATAATCATGTTATTTTTTTAAAGTAAATAAATAAATAAAACCAGTTGTTGATGGAAAAGCACTAGTCTGTATATAAGGATCATGTCATACTTCAGTGAATAAGTAAATATAATAGCATACGAATTATATGTTATATATGTTAATTCTAAATCAACACAAAAATATGTGAAACATAACCATTTAAATCTACAGTTGGAAAAAATGTTACTTGTTAAAAGTGAAGGAAATCATTGGAGAGCAAAATAAAGCCTTAGATCACCCTAGTTGGTTTGACTTAGTGGATAGAGTGTTGGCCTGCAGACTGAAGTGTGCTGGGTTTGATTATGGTCAAGGGCATGTACCTCAGTGCAGGTTCCATCCTGACTGGGGCGAGTACAGGAGGCAACGAATCGATGTGTCTCTCTCACATTGATGTTTCTCTTCCTCTGTCTCTCCCTCTCCCTTCAACTTTCTCTAAAAATCAATGGAAAAATATCCTCAGGTGAGGATTATAAAAATAAAAAGCCTTAGATCAATGGCTATATTGAGCTTAAGGATATACTAAAAAATCTAAGAAATAAGAAATACTTCACATGTAAAAACTAATTATAAAAACATAAAAAGTCCATTTACCTTAATTATCTGTTCAAATGCTAAGGCAGATTGTAACATCATTGGTCTCTGACTCTGAATCATCTGCTGATCGATAGAATTGTAAAAATGTGCCACCTACAAAGTAAAAGTCCAATTAGCAAAAGTCAGTAATAAATAGTGTACTTAATTTTTAATTTTTCTTCATTTTCCGTTGTCTGAATGAAAATAATAATTTTTCTCAATTCTAGGATTTAAAAAATAGACTTTTTTCATCTCCATTATTGTATTTATGCATGTATTATTATACACAACCAGCAAATATGTGTTGACCTCCTATAATTTGCCAAGGCATGTCCTGGGGGCTAATTAAACAAAGATTATAAAACCTAGTCCCTGGACTCAAAAAGTACAGTCTCACAGAGAACACAGAGGAAACCCAAAAAGCATGGTAAGTGCTAAAAAAAAAACACCAACCTGAACTCTTAATCCTTGCAACTCTCCAAACCTGCTCCTTCCTTTTCTAGTAAATAACACAATGATTTATACATTTCTTAGACCAAAAAACGTATATATTTGCATTGTCCTTACTCTTCTCTCACATCCCATATTAGTGAAGTCTATTGACTAATTTATAGTCAATACTTTGATAATTTATATTGAATCCAACTTCTTCACCACCTCAATCAATCCCATCCCCCTCCAAGCACCCTCATCTCTTGGCAAGACCAGTGAAGCAGTCTCCTAACTGGTCTATTTCCCAGTAGGGCCTCCTATTGTCTATGCAAAGTCTCCAAATCAACCAGAGTGGTCCTTTCTTAAACATAAATTATACACCTTTTGCAAACTCAAAACCTTCCAATGACTTCCCAATACATCTGAGAAAAAGTCCCCAATCAGGAAAACTGGAAGCAACAGAACATATACTATTACAACAACCTGGAAATTCTATTATCTATCCAACATCCTACTACTCTACTCTAGCTAAATGTCTACTCAAAAGTAAAGGTATATATAAATAGATTTTCCCAGTTGTTCTTCCAGGAGTAAATACAAATACTATACTATCATTCATTCATCTTTTGAGCTCCTATTATGTTAAGCTAAATACTTAGGATACAAAAGTGAGCAAGACTCTCTGCTTTTGAATATGTAGTCCCTCTCTGAAATGATCACCCACCTCAACCCCTTGTGCTCTTAATAAAACATATACTATATACTCTTCCAGACTCACATCAAACACCATTCATTCCTCTGTAAAAATTTATCTGATACTATCTCTACCTCTACCCAGGAAAATAATTGAAAACTACAGTACTACCTCTCTGCTCTCACCGGACCTTGTGAACATCTATAATATAGTACTCATAATATATTAAATACTGTATTGATATGTTCACATATCTGCCATCACTCTATGAACTGTACTGCAATACATATGGGCTTTGGAGTCAGAGAGACTTGCTATCAAGTCCCAGCTTCATAACTTGTTAGCTGTGTGGCACTGGAAAACCTGTTACAAATCTGATCCCAATTAGACCAGTCAGGAGATTAATATAAATAAGGCATCTACCAGAAGGTTAGTACTTAATGACAACTCAATGTTTAGTTTGCTCTCTCCCACTAGACCAGTGGTTCTCAACCATATTTGATTTGCACCTAAGGCGACATTTGGCAATGTCTGGAGATATCTTTTATTGTTAGGACTATGCTCATGCTACTGGCCAGAGATGCTGCTAAAAACATCTTATAACGCACAAGATGTCAGCAGCTGAGAAACCCTGCACTAGTTTATGACAGTAATACGTTTATTCTTTTATCCTCACTGCAGTGTGACTTGGGGTACAGGTGCTCAATTAATCTTTGTTGAAGAAAAGAATAAGTGAGAGACCAAATACACAAGATACTGTCCCTGGCTTCTAAATCCTAATAATCAAGTGAGAGAGAAATTTTTAAAAAAAACAAAAAGTGATTTGCACACTGCACAAAGAATAAGGAACAATCAACTAAAAAAAGACACAACAAAGAGAGTGAGTTTTTAGTTGACGATTAAGGGAAGACTTTGAGTTTTCTAATCAGAAAATACAGATATCAGTGCATGGAGCCACGTTCAAGTTTCCTATAATCATGAACCAGTGCAATATGAGGGCAAAGTATAGTAGTGAAGGTCACAACCAAGAAGGTTAGTACATAATTAAGAAGGGCCTTGTATACTGTGCCAAGGACATAGTCAATAAGGTGATAATAGTTGGTTTTAAACTGGTACATGATATGACGGTAATGAGCTGAACAGGTAGACTGAGGAAATAACCAAGAACAGAGACCAGTCCATCAGCCTGGTAATTCTCTAAGAACCTGCCCCTTGAAAGCAGGCAGAGGACTCCCTTTAATTAGAAGGTCCTTTAAGACCCATGCAAGTAACATGATAGAAAGATGAACAACAGAGAATATAATATTCTATTTTTCTGAAAGCTTATAAAATGAAAAGCAACAATACCTTAAATTATTAAATGCCTACAGCATTTACAAAGCAAATTGTGTAGCAAATCAATTTCACAAGAGCTAATGGTGTCATTCTACTAGCCTAAAAAAATAAAAAGTAGAAAACAAATATCCAAATATAATGAACTCAGAATAGCCATGTTTTCAAATACATAATTTCATACTTGTTTAAGAATAATTGCTTGCTTGCAGAATTTCTGTGCAATGTTTGCAACTTGCTGTATTTTGGCAGGAATAACAAAGCCAAGTGCAGAAAGCTGACGAACTTCTCTCAGAAGAATCACCAACCGATCTGAATAATACACTTTTAATGATCCATCATTAGAATCCAATTCCATAATTCTACTGTTAGCCTCAATACTACAAAACAAAATGAATGACTTTTTAAGTTTCATGTTCTCACTCTTCTGATTGATATATATAAAGTTAATTCAAGGTAAAAAAAATTTTTTAATTATAGTTTTAACTTTTCTTTTTTCACATAGTATCTCACAATTCAGATCTTGATAATAAACTGTAATAACTAAAATATAACAATATTTCAACCAAGCATTTTTGAATTCAGAAAAATCAATCTCTCAACTTTCAACTAAGATTCAAAACTGACATATATACCATAAAGAAAAAAGGTTTTGATTCATTTTCTAAAAGTTTTTTTTTTTACTCCTCTTACTTGGTTCTTTAATACTTTTTATTATTATTATTACAGAGAGAGAGAGGGAGAGAGAGATAGAAACATCAATGATGAGAGAGAGTCATTGATTGACTGCCTCCTGCACACCCCACACTGGGGATCGGGCCGGCAACCCAGGCATGTGCTGTGACAGGGAACTGAACCGTGAAATCCTGGTTCATAGGTCGACACTCAACCACTGAGCCATGCCAGCCAGGCAGTTCTTTAATACTTTTATTAAAGGATCAATTAGGAGTAGAGATAACCCAATGTTTCACTTCTCTACTCTTGGTTTTACTATCTAAGGACTGTCCTTTCTTTATGTTTCTTGTAAAAGATATAATTGCAAATTTTACACTGGGACACTCAAATCAGCAACAATTGTAAAAAGTAAGCAGAGCTAAATTAAGCATAAAGTATTATATTTTCATGACCTTTCTTTCAGGATCATGTTTATATAATGCTCATTTTAAGTCACTTCCACAATTAAGAGATCTTTCAGGATTAAGAAAAGAAGCTACTAAATAGCAAAGAACAAATCTAGTCAGCCTATTTAATAACACATAAAACAGAGCATACTTTAAAATGAATTGAGCCCTAACTGGTTTGGCTCAGTGGATAGAGCATCGGCCTGCGGACTCAAGGGTCCTAGGTTCAATTCCAGTCAAGGGCATGTACCTTGGTTGCGGACACATCCCCAGTGGGGAGTGTGCAGGAGGCAGCTGATCGATGTTTCTCTCTCATCAATGTTTCTAACTCTCTATCCCTCTCCCTTCCTCTCTATAAAAAATCAATAAAATATATTTTTAAAAAAATAAAATAAATAATAAATAAATAAAATAAAATGAATTGAAATTATTTAGCCAAAACTTTTCTATGTGAACATAGAGCCTGTAAGAAAATTATTATGGTGGTCCTATTTGCTTTTATTATCATCTAATCTTCAAAATTAGGTTCCACATACCAGGATATCCTAAAATATGTGCCAAAACACACTTACTCTCTGGGATAATAATGAGTTTTACAAAAAAAAAGTGGAAGTCAGGGTATTTCATTGTCAAATGGGAAACAAATACTGGGTTGAACAAAGTTACACAGGCTCTTCCCAGCAGGTGTCAGTCCTTTGTTATAGGATGGATCTCCACCGGAGCCATAGTGAAAAAAGTGTGCATATATTCCAAAATTAGCTAACTGAAGAAATCTTCCTTCGTTTTTTGGCCTGAAACATCTCTCCTATTTTAGGTTCAGAATAGAAAGGAGAAAAGTTAAATGACATGAAGTTATAATCATTATGCCCTAGCACCTTTTAGTTCTTCTATTCTTCCTCCAACACCAAAATCCAAGATAAAAGGGAAAAAAGTATTTATTCAGTTTAAGAAGCTATCATTTATGGCCTAGTTGTCCTTCTTAGCAATACAGGGAAAATAAATGGAGTTTCATATTATAAAGTTACTTTTAGAAAGTAACAAGTTTCTAAGAATTAAAATATGACAAGTTTCTAAAAATACAAACAATTACATTCTTGGAAAGTGTACCAGGACAAAGAAACAATGGTTTTTCTAGACCATCCTTTTTTTTTTTCATTTTTAAATGTATTTTTTACTATTGATAGTATTACAGATATCTCCTATTTTCCCCCACTTTCCTCCCTCCTCCCAGCGGCCACCCACCTCCCCAGGTCTTCATTACTTATTGCCCATACCCATGAGCTATGCATATAACTATATAAGTTCTTTGGTTTATATCTTCTCGTCCCCCGAACCCTACATCAAAGTATGTCAGTCTGTTCCATGCCTCCATGTTTCGGATCTCATTTTGTTGGTCAATTCATTTTGTTCCACAGATAAGTGAGATCATGTGATATTTGTCTTTCTCAGTTTGGCTTATTCCACTTAGTATAATATTCTCCAAATGTATCCATGCTGCCCCAAAGGGAAAGAGATCCCTCTTTTTTACAGCTACATAGTATTCCATAGTGTAAATGTCCCACAACTTTTTTATCCATTCATCTACTGATGGGCACTTGGGCTGTTTCCAAATCGTGGCTATCTATCTATAATAATAAAAGAGTCATATGCTAATTAGACCAGACAGCCAAACAACCTTCCAGACATCCTTCCGGAAGACCTTCCAGATGACCATCCCATGACCGCCCTGCAGAGGGAGGCCCAGGCCACAGGCCGACAGGGCAATCAATTGAGGGGCTCCACAATCGCCCCAAAGAGGGAGGATCAGGCCACCAACTGGCATGCTGCAGCGGCTGGGCAGGGCCTCTCTCTGCGGGGGCGATCTACCGCAAAGCCCCAGTCCAGTGGGCAGGGCCTACCTCTTTGGGGTGATCAATCTCAGGTCTCCCGGACTGTGAGAGGGCACAGGATGGGCTGAGGTACCCCCTCCAGTGCACAAATTTTGTGCACCAGGCCTCTAGTTATAAATAAAGCGGCTATGAACACAGGGGTGCATATATTCTTTCCCATTGATATTTTGGGGTTTTTAGGATTTTTTCCAGAAGTGGGATGACTGGGTCAAATAGAAGTTCCATTTTTTATTTTTTGAGGAAACACCATACTGTTTTCCATAGTGGCTTGCACAAATCTGCATTCCCACCAGCAATGAACTAGTTAGTGTTCCCTTTTCTCCACATTCTTGCCAGCACTTGTTGTTTGTTGATTTTTTTATGACAGCCATTCTGACAGGTGTGAGGTGATATCTCATTGTGGTTTTAATTTGCATTTCTCTGGTGATTAGTGACTTTGAGCAGTTTTTCATGTGTCTCCTGGCTATATGTATGTCCTCTTTGGAAAAATGTCTATTCAGGTCTTCTGTCCATTTTTTAATTGGATTGTTTGTCTTCTTTTTGTTGAGTTGTATGAGTACTTTATATCTTTTGGATATTAACCTCTTATCAGATATATCATTGGTAAACATGCAGTGGAATGCCTTTTCAATTTGATGGTGGTTTCTTTTACTGGGAAGCTTTTTATTTTGATGTAGTCCTATTTGTTTATTTTCTACTGTTTACTTTGCCCTAGGACAGTGATGGCGAACCTTTTGAGCTCGGCCTGTCAGCATTTTGAAAAACCCTAACTTAACTCTGGTGCCATGTCACATATAGAAACTTTTTGATACTTGCAACCATAGTAAAACAAAGATTTATATTTTTGATATTTATTTTATATATTTAAATGCCATTTAACAAAGAAAAATCAACCAAAAAAATGAGTTCGCGTGTCACCTCTGACACGCGTGTCATAGGTTCGCCATCACTGCCCTAGATGTATCCATAAACATACTACTATGTAAAGATGTCTGATATTTTACTGCCTATGTTTTCTTTTATTATTTCTATGATTTCATGACTTTCATTTAAGTCTTTTATCCACCTTGAGTTTATTCTTGTGGATAGTGTAAGTTGGTGGTCTAGTTTTGTCTATTTGCATGTGTCTGTCAGGTTTTCCCATCACCATTTGTTGACGACACTGTCTTTACTCCATTGTAAGTTCTTGCCTCCTTTGTCAAATATTAATTGACTGTAATGATATTGGTCAATTTCTGGGATCTCTGTTCTGATCCATTGGTCTATATGCCTGTTCTTATGTCAGTACCAGGCTGTTTTGGTTATAATGTCTTTGTAGTATAGCTTGGTATTGTGATCTCTCCTACTTCATTCTTCTTTCTCAAGATTGCTGCAGCTATTCAAGTCTTTGATGGTTCCAAATAAATTTCTAGAGTATTTGTTCTAACTGTGTGAAGTATGCCATTGGAATTTTAATAGGGATTATGAATATTGTACCAGCCTTGCATCCCTGGAATAAATGCCACTTGATTATGATGTATGATCTTTTTAGCATATTACTGGATCCAATTTGGTGAGGATTTTAGCATCTGTGTTCATCAGGGATATTGGCCTATAATTTTCTTTCTTTCTTGTGTCTTTATTTGGTTTTAGAATTAGGATAATGCTGGCTTCATAAAAAGAGCTTGGAAGTGTTCCTTCCTCTTGAATTTTTTGGAATAGTTTGAGGAGGATATGTGTTAGTTCTTATTTGAATGTTTGGTAGAATTCACCCATAAATCCATCCAGTTCAGGGTTTTTGTTTGCTAGAAGTGTTTAAATTACTGCTTCAATTTCATCAGTTGTTACTTGCCTACTCAGGTTTTCTGATTCTACCTGATTGAGTTTTGGAAGATTGTATGTTTCAAGGAATTTGTCCATTTTACCCAGGTTTGCCAGTTTGTTGGCATATAGTTGTTCATAGTATTTGCTTACAATCCTTTGTATTTCTGTGGTGTCCACTGTTATATCACCTCTTTCATCTCTGACTTATTTGAGTCCTCTCTGTTTCTTGTAGAGTCTGGCTAGGGTTTTATCAATCTTGTTTATCTTTTTAAAGAATCAGATCTTGGATTCATTGACCTTTTGTACTATTTTTTTTTTCGTCTCTATGTCATTTATTTCCACTCTGATCTTTATTATTTCCTTCTTTCTACTTCCTCTGGATTTTCTTGTTCTCTTTCTAATTCCTTTAGTTTTTGGGTAAGATAGTTTATTAGTCCTTTTTCTTGTTTCTTGAGGTAGGCCTATAGAGCTATGCACTTCCCTCTCACAACTGCTTTCACCGTGTCCCATAGGTTTTGGTTGGTTATGTGTTCATTTTCATTTGTTTCCAGGAAGTATTTAATTTCTTGCTTGATCTCATTGATAACCATATTCATTGTTTAATAAGATGCTATTAGCTTCCATGTATTTGACTGTTTTTTGAGTATTTTATTATACTTCATTTCTAACTTCATGCCATTGTGATCTGAGAAGATGCTTGGTATTATATCAATCTTCTTGAATTTGTATAGACTTGTTTCGTACCCTAGCATGTAGTCTATCTTTGAGAATGTTCCATGTGCACTTGAATATACATTGTTGCTTTGGGGTGAAATGTTCCATAAATATCAATTAGATCCATCTGATCTAGTGTGTCACTTACAGCCTCTGTTTCCTTGTTAATTTTTTGTCTGAAAGATCTATCCCATAATCTCAGTAGGGTGTTAAAGGCCCACACTACAACTGTATTGCTGTCAATCTCTCCCTTAAGGTCTATCAAGAGTTTTTTAATGTTCTTGGGTGCTTCTATATTGGGTGCATATATGTTTACAAGGGTTATATTTTCTTTTTGAATCAATCCCTTTACTATTATGAAGTGGCCTTCGTTGTCTCTTGTTATGGCCTTCATTTTGAAATCTTTTTTTGTCTAATATGAGTATTGCTACTCGATGTGTTTTTTTTTCCTTTCCATTTGCATGGAATATATTTTTCCATCCCTTCACTCTCAGTCTGTGTGTATCTTTTTTTCTGAGGTGGATCTCTTGTAGACACCATATATATGGGTCATGTTTCTTATCCAGTCACCCTATGTCTTTTGACTGGATCATTTAGTCCATTTACATTTAAAATTATTATAGATAGGTATTTGTTTATTGCCATTTTTATTTTCTTTATGCCTATGATCCTCTCTCTCCTTTTCTTCTTCTTAAAACAGTCCCTTTGACATTTCTTGCATTGCTGGTTTAGTGGTATTGTACTCCTTTAACCTCTTTTTGTCAGAAAAGCTTTTTATTTCACCTTCAATTTTAAATGACAGCCTCACTGGATACAGTAGTCTTGGATTCAGGACCTTGCTTTTCATTACTTCTAGTACTTCATGCCACTCCCTTCTGGCCTGGCCTGAAGTGTTTCTCTAGGAAAGTTAGTTGACATTTTAATGGGAACCCCTTTGTATAAATTTTCTCTCTCTCTCTCTCTCTCTCTCTCTCTCTCTCGGACTTTAAGATTCTTTCTTTGTCTTTAACATTTGCCATTTTAATTGTGATGTGTCTAGATGTGGGTCTCTTTGGGTTCATCTTGATTAGGATGCTCTGTGCCTCCTGAACCTGTGTGGCATTTTCTTTCACCAGGTTGGGGAAGTTTTCTGTCATTATTTCTTTAAACAGGTTCTCTGTTCCTTGCTCATCCTCTGCCTTTTCTAGTACTCCTATAATGTGAATGTTGCTATGTTTCATGTTGTCCCAGAGCTCCAGTAAGCTATCTTCCTGCTTTTTAATCCTTTTTTCTATTTGCTGCTGTAATTGTGTATTTATTTCTACCTTGTCTTCCAAGTCACTAATTCGGTCCTCTTCTTCATCCAATCTACTTTTAATCCCTTCCAGTGTGTTCATGTCAGATATAACATTCTTCATTTCTGTCTGGTTATTGTTAATGACCTCTATATCCTTTCCATGCTGTTGTAATTTGCACTAAATTCCTTTAGCACCTTTATAACCATTATTTTGAACTCTATTTCTAATAGGTTGCTTACCTCCATCTTATTTAATTCTTTTTCTGCACATTATTTCTCTCACTTGGAGGTTGTTTCTATGTCTCCCCTTATTAGCTATCTCTTTATATTTGCTTCTATGTTTTAGATAGAACTGCTATGCCTCCCAGTCGTTGTGGGATGGCCTTATGTAGAAGGTGTCTTGAAGTGTCCAGTGGTGTAGACTCTGTTCACCTGAGCTGGATGCTCAAGGAATGCCCCTTGTGTGCGTTGTTGGGTTCTCCTGTTGTAATTGAGTCCTGAGTGTTGATGTCTCATTATGGGAAGGATCTCCCCTCTCACTTGCTGCCAGTGAGGTTCAACCCCAATGTCTTCGTGCCACCTGTCCAGTGGTCAGGGACTCCTCAGCTCAGAGGCTGTGTCTGCCTTGAGTCTTACACCTTGATTGACCCTATTTTGGGTTGTACTTCCTTTCCCCCACAAAGCTGGTCCCACAGGTGTCAGCTGCAAGCACTTGGGGGCCCTGCTGGCTTTTGCCTTGCTGAGCAGTCTGGGATGGTATCTGTGGGGTAACCCAAACTGCTGTTTCTAATTAGATCAGGCAAAGACTCAAAGCCTTCAGAGAACCACCTCTGCCTGCAGTCTGATTGGATTCAGTCTGAGTATCCTCAAGCAATGGTCCACAGGTGGGGTAAGAGGTTTTCCAACAAGGTGGGATAATTGCTTCTGCCAGGAGGTTAATTGCTATTCTCAGTCTCTTTATAGGCCTCAGAAACTCCAAAGGGTAGGGCAGAGGATTATCCATAGTGTGGGTCAACTGTCTTCCCCCAGGCAAAAACATCAGGATAGTACAGGTTTACCTGAGAAAGATGACCTCTGCAGCGTAAGGGAATGACTCAGCACAGGAAACCTGGGTGTCTGCCTTCCAAGCCCTATCCCCAGATTTCCCAACCCTGGCTTATATTTATACAGCTCCAGTCCACTCTGCCCACCCTTTGCCAAAACACAAGGTGAGTGGCTGCAGACAGAATTTTGTGTGTTGGCCCTTTAAGAGGATGCCTGCATTTCCATCCCTCTATCCCTGGCAGAAAGCAACCCAACTGTTTTTCACAGCCAGATGTTACGTAGACACCTTTCTCAGTTCTGGTCCTCTATGCTGGGGGGGCCCAGCTTGAGGATTAAACCCCAGAGTTCTCAGTGGCAAACCCCAACAGCTGAGATATCTCTCCGTACTTCAACTGCTGTCTGTGGGAGCGCATCCAGCCCTTTTGTACCTCTGCCCTTCCTACCAGGCTCTATGAGGTCTCTGCTTTCTGTCTATGGTTACCAGGGTTCTCTCCAGGTAGTCCTCAGTTCATTTTTCAGGATGGCTCTTCTGTATTTTTGCTGTATTTCCAATTTGGTCCTGGGAGCACGTCTGTGAGCTTCCACTTACTCTGCCACCATTTTTAATCCCTTTAGGCCATCCATTTTAAACTCCCATTAGAAAAATTAGGTTGACCAATTAAATTACATCCAAAACATATATCAATACCATTAAAACAAACAATTTTAGAAGAAGGAAAGCCTAATTCCAAAAATGGAATCTGCACTTCTAGGGAATGAACCTGAGAAACAAGGGGGAGGCAGTCAACTAACTACATCATAAAATTGCCAACCCTAATGACTGAAAGGTTGATAAACAAAACCTAACCAAAAAAACGTAAAGGAGTAGCAGCAAATGGGAAGAAAAAAGAGAGTAGAGATGATTAATTCCATCTTGCCACTGGAATTAATAACATAAGAAAAAAAGATTCTTGTGCAGATTTCACTGTTTAGTATATTTAAACTTACCACAAACCCGATCTAGAATCAGACAAACCAGACTGAATATCCCTGGACCAATCATCAAATTGTTCTTGTTCATACAGTTTAAACTGCTCTAAGAGATCTTCAGCACTTCGATGGAAAGATCGATATCCTGATGAGTCAGACAAAACAGCCTCTGCTATCTTGATGGTATCATCCACCTTAATAAGCCAAATTACAAGAATATTTATTATTTAAAATCTAACAAAATTAGCATAAAATAAGCCCCATTCTCTGATCTTAGAAATTATTTTCCCATTCATCTATAAATAGTATAATAGAAGATTTTCCAGTGACTATAAAAATATCAACCCATAGTTTGCTTCTAAATTATACAACCTCAGGACAGCAAAACACAGAGGAGAATGCATACAAGGCATAATCTGAAGGTTAAAATAAGGGAAATTCAGGTGAAACTCCAAGAATTTTGCAATACTCCTCAATATATTAAACATCAGTTTGGGCCCTTTGCTAAATGCTCTGGTTAATATCTCAAACAATGATTAGTGCAATTTGAATGGCAATTTAAAGGAGAGACATTCCTTTCCTTCATAACTGTACAAAGAACAATGTAGCACCTCAGAAAGCTGACAGAAAATGAAGCAGCATCCAAGTAAAACATCAAAAATACAAGCTTGAATAAGTAAAAATCTCGAACATGTCAGCCTTAATAGTACCCTATAGCTGTGCTCTTCTCTTGAATATTTTTTACAAAGACACTTACCTGGAAAACTGCAATTGGTTTGATAATTATCTCTACACAAGGAATGAGAAGAACCATTACAAACTCCTCAGCACACTTTTTTCAGAATTCTACTTTTTACATAAAAATTTAATGGATATACAAAGAAAAATAGAAAATGTCTTTTAATGTTTTCACTACAATTCTAGAGTGGTTTCTATATTAATTTAGCAGACTTTACACTTATTGTTCTTCAACTTTTATTAAAATAAATACCTTCATGCCCTGACTGGTTTGGCTCAGTGGATAGAGTGTCGGCCTGCGACTGAAGGGTCCCAGGTTCAATTCCAGTCAAGGACACGTACCTTGGTTGCAGGCACATCCCCAGTAGGGGGTGTGCAGGAGGCAGCTGATCGATGTTTCTCTCTCATCGATGTTTTTAACTCTCTATCCCTCTCCCTTCCTCTCTGTAAAAAATCAATAAAATATATTTTAAAAAAATAAATACCTTCAGTTCCAACTGGCGAACCCAAACTATATTATTGACAACCTCTGAAAGGTTTTTGCCAGAAAGTGGTCCAGATGCATCACCAGGAATTCCTCGGCTCCGGTTCTCAAAATCTAATCGAAAATCTATAAAATTTAAATCAAATAAATGATTACACACATTTAGCAAAGATTTCCTAAAGGCTTTTGATGTTCCAGGAACTATGTCAAATACTCTAGACAGAAAAATAATAAGAGTTGGTCCCTTAATGTAGTCTTAATCCTAAATGGTATACAACATAGAAAAAAGTGAGCTACAAAAATATTTTCTCCAGCAAACACTATATTTTCTGATAAACTTTTACCTTTAACTGAGTCCACAAGCCTTGCCAGTAAAGTTTCTCGTTCTAACATCAATTCTTTGCTTATAATTGGACGCTTCACCAACTCTTTGTATTTCAGAAATGCTTGAAGAAGCTAATATAAAATAAAATAAGTATATGTTTATCCCAAGTGCATTAACTTGGTATATACATATATATCTCCTAAATAGCAAAAAGAAAGTATTAAATTTTAAATATTTCAGTATTTTACCTGTTGTGGACTATCTTGAATTTCTGAAATATAATTTTTCAATTTTCCTGCTATTTTTCGTTCCACAGGTATAATAATTTTTTCATATTGAGACACTGCAGCTTTCCACAAAGGCTAAACAAATTGTCAATATTGTTAGACTTTAATATCTAAAAAATCTGCCTTTAAAAAGAACAACACAAACAGGAAATTATATTTAGAAACATATATATTCAACCTCAGTATATGGATTATATTGCACTGGATTCAGGCCAGTAAAAGGTTCAAATACTCGAGCCAGGATTTTCTCTTCACTAGCAGGTAAAAAATAGAGAAGCTTCTCATGAATTGTTCTAACATCCAAGACCTAAAACAAATATTAAAAAAAACAAATTTATTTAAATAAGTAAATCTGCACAAATAGGTCTAAAACTTAAAGATACTGAGCAAGAATTTCTTTACCTAGGTCCTCTGAAATGAAAGCTGAAACTATAATTTTGAGAATTACTCCTCATCAATATTTAAAGTGATGCACAAAGACATACTGTATCAACACATCAATCAGTGTGCTCAAATCTAGTGAAAAATATAACATCTAAATATTTAAAAATGTGCTTAAAGCTCATTTATATTATAGCTCCTCTCCTCCTTATCATAGTACTTCTGACAGTCATAATTCTGCATTAAATTGCAATTCTGATAATGAAACAATATTAACAATTCTATTATGTACCATTTACAAACTACAGGAAAACAAATTATTATATTTTGTATCTAAAATGTTCCCAATAATCAAAAGGTAATCAAAAAGGTTAAGTAAAAACACTATAATCTTCCATTTGAGTAGGAAATATCTGTACAAACTCATGATTTATTTTTATCTTGCTAAACACAAAACACCAATTTAACAAGCCTTCCAACAGAAAAGGCCTAAAAGCATTGATAACTAAGTAAAATTTAACACTTCCTCAACCAGATTTTTGTTGCTCAATACCATTTTTTACTAAAAAGAGCCAGGCTCTTGGGAAAAATTACTAATTCCAGGTATGAGACAGAAAATATAAAAGATGGGCTCGTACATTTTGGGGGGCTTGAAAGCAAGGAAATTGTCAAAGAAACACTGGATTCATGAAAAAATGACACAAGAGCCAACTTACAGGGAGCACTCACTGCCCACACATAAAACAATGTAAATAAAATAATAATAACTATAATGGATGGAAACATAAAATATAACAACTCATGGGTTCATAATAATTCTTCTAAAAAACATTTCATTGATTACCAATGGAACTTACTATGATACTAACTTATTTATTCATTGTTTTTAAAAAGTGATAAAAGAAGTAATTGTCTACAGCTATTCCTACACACACTTTTTTTCAGAGTAACTAATAAACTAATGAGGAAAAAGTTCTTCCACCATGACTAACAAATGTAGAAAAAAACAACAGAATTAGAAAGTCCCCATTTTATATTTCCTCGTAATCATTAATGGCTGCTAAAATCATTAAGAAAAGAATGGAGAGCATTATAACAGATGGGTCAGGCTAAACATACCTGAACCCACATATCGAACTAAAAGTTGGAAAGTACCTGTAAAGCAGCTGAGACAATCAGAAAAATTGAACACTGGTTAGATATAAAATAATGTTAGGAAATTGTTATAATTTTGGTGGATGTGATAGTGATATTGTGATAGTGGTATTAAGGATGAAAGTATATGATTTCTTGAAATGGCTTTAAAAATACTCGAGAAAAAAAATAAAAGGAAGGCAGGGTAGACAAAGATGGAATAAGAACTAAATAATGTCAAAGGCTGTTGAAATTGAGCAGTGGATACATTGGTATTCATTATACTATTTTACTTTTAAATATGTTTTAAGTTTTTCATGGTGAAAAAGGTTTTTAAAAATCCCCAAAGAACTATGGTTCTCATAAGCAGAAAAGAAAAAAGTCAGCTTTGCAATCTTTTCATATTCTCATTTTGACTATCCCTTCAAGCTAAATATGTCCTATGCTGAAATTCAGAAGCAATGAAAATTAAGCAGCTATTTCAAATATTTCCACTGAGTAACCCCCTAAAAAAGCTGTACTGCTTATAAACAATTTCAATAGCCAAGGGAATATCTGATAGCTTACATATATGGACAAGTGGGCTGATTATCTTTTTTATAACAAAGAACAAAAAAAAAACACCCAGAAGTTCACAATTTACAAGTTGAACACACACCAAAGAAAAAGAAAGGCGGTGGAAACCAGCACTATCACACCAGATGACTGTCATAAACTATTTCACATGAACTTTAACCCTATTCTCTCCCAAAAATATAAAGAGTTCCTATCAGATGTAGTGCTTATAAGTTATAAAATACATTCATAAACACGTGAGGACCTACTTCACACTTAAAGAAAGAAGCCAAGCCCTGGCTGGTGCGCTCAGTGGTTAGAGTGCCAGCCTGGGAACAGAAGAGTCTCAGATTCCATTTCCAGTCAAAGGCAAGTACCTGGGTTACAGGCTCAATATTGGCAGGAGGAACCAATGGAGGTGTCTCTCTCACATCGATGTTTCTCTCTCTCTCTCTCCCCGCCCCCCTCCCACTTTCTCTGAAAATCAATGGAAGAAATATCCTCGGTGAGAATTAACAACAACAAAAAAGACAAAGAGCCAAATAATCAAATGATACCTCTTCAAGGCGTTTGCCAAGTTTGTCAAGTGTTTCAGGGAAATATTTTTCATTTTTCCATGGATGAGGAACGTAGCGCTGCCACACCTGACCTGTTAGATGATTGCAGGCCATCACCCACTGTTCACAAATTGAAATACCAGCTTTCAGATTTTCTTTCACAAGATAATAAGGATCTTCCCATAGATTCAAAGTTCCCAACTTTCTCTGAACAAATCTTCCAAATGAACCACCTAATAAAACATAAAGCAAGCTTCTTAATGGAAATGTCTTTTTACAAAATAATTATAGAATACATAACTACAACAAAATTAACATACAAATTAGTAAACTAAGGTTCTATGAAATACCACAATGCACACCCTTAGACTAGCACTGTCAATAACAAATATTTTTAAAAAAAACAAGTATTTTTGCATCCTGCAATATATCATGTACATCTTTAAAATGTAGAAATATATATACATTTTTTTAAAGGCTGCAGAGCCTACCATATGGATATAGCATGATGTAACTAATTCTCAATTGCTATTTGTTACAAACAATGCTACAATAAATATCCTTATGTACTTGTCTAATATTTTCTCAGGATAATAATGAGAAGGACATTTTCTGAGTCAAACGTATTTGCACTTTTAATATTGAGAGATAAGCCAATGTAATATTAAAGAACTTTTTAGTTCATTACAAAATAAGTTCTAAATTAATACATGCATAGGGACTAAAAATATATGTAAATTTAGTTATATTGATGGTCAAAGAATTTGACCATAATTTAAATTAACCAACTATATACAAATATCTATTTAAATAATTATGTATCATTTGCTTTCAGAGTTACTTGAAGCAACAATTATTACTTTAAGAAGCATTTTTAGTAAGAACTTAAAGAAAAAAAACAACAGAAAACAAAATAAAACAGGCTTCCAAAATTTCAAAACTTTATTCTTTACTGGTACCTATGATCTCTAAGAGATGTAACATTCGTGACTCAGGATAATGCTCATGCTCTGTTTGTCTCCACACATCATCAACAACGTCCCGAGTAGTCTCCACCAAGTCAACGACTTCCAATAAGGACAGGCTGTCCAAGTTATAAAACTCCTGAAACCAAAATGCATTCATTTTTAAATATAACCGTTTCTTTACCTTGGGCCATATACTCTAAATGTTCTGACTTTTTCAACTGCTACAACTCTAACATTTGCCATATTATTTTCTCCTTTTTCTATCAGATATATTGTTATACAAATACTCTTTAAGTACCTTCACAAACATAAATTTCATGAAAGCCAGGAAAAAAAAAATAAGAACTGCAAAAAAAAATCTATTCATTTAATTTTAACTTTGGCCTAATTTTCTTTAACTTTGGATGCATTTATTTTATTTACCCAAATAAAAGTAGCCATAATGCCATATATACAATACCCTATGTAGTTGGCATATCTCCATTCATTTACTGCATTGTATAATGTTACCAATAATACAAGGTTTATTATTCTATATTTCATCACTGTTATAAAAAAAAGTTTGAAATTATTTCAAATACTTCATTAAAATATTTTTGAAATAATACTGGAAACAAATAGAAAGTTACTTTATTTTTTAAAGAATAGATTTTTTATAATCATAATTAAAATGGTCACTTACTTGATCTCTCTGTAGATACATCAAGGGATAATCAATCAAATAAGTAAAAAACTAAGGCTTTTTAAATTATAAGTTACTTCAAAATGCTAATTGGAATAAAGTGAACATTCTTTCAAAAGAACATATATTACCTCCATATAGATAAACCTCTATTAGTGTTTTAAGTTTTTGTTTTTCCCTATCTACCTGCAGAAAAGTAATTACGTTTGAGAAAAATATTTACTAGAGATTACAATCTAACTTTTAAAACTTTTACATTTTTTTTAATGCTTTTATTGATTTCAGAGAGAGGAAGGGAGAGAGACAGACAGACAGAAACAGCAATATTGAGAGAGAATCATAGATCAGCTGCTTCCTGCATGCCCACTACCGGGGATCTAGTCCATGACCCAGGCAAGTTCCCTGATCTGGAATAGAACTTGATCTCCTTGTTCATGGGTCAGTGCTCAACCACTGAGCCACACCAACTGGGCAAAATGCTTAGATTTTTAACTTGTACTCATATTAAATGCACATCTGAAATAAACCTTGCTATTTATGAAGTATATATTTTGTTTGTAACCATTAAGTAATGATTTTAAAACAGATAAATTTGTTAAACGTACAATTCTAAAGTACTTTTATCAAAAACCTAACATATAATATATATGAATTACATACTCTTGAAATTGTTTCAAATAATTCTTTAAAATAACTGGCTCTTTCTTTACTAATCTGTTTATTTCCACGATGAGTTTGTTCTATCCAAAACTGGAACTCATCATTTGGTGTAAGAATACCTGAAAAAGTGAAAAGGAAAAAATATGTCAATTGAAAATGAAAAGCCAGAAAGTAATTTGGTTTATTCACAGATTTTGAATATTTCCTATATTCTTGAGGATGCATTGAAAAAAATATTTTGTAATTTCTATCAACAGAAAGTTCTTACTTGAATCCACCAGAAATAATAACATCACCAAATTTATACTTCACATCAAGTTTATTGCTCAGAATGATTCCTGCATGCTTTTGTAAGCCAATCAGACCTATACTGTCAGTCTATTTACATCTATGAATTTGCTTCTCAAACACAAGGCTTTCCTAAATCTAATTCCAAAATCATTCATGCTACTGCATATTACCAAACTGGAGATGATTATGATTTAATCAATCTTTGCAATTTAATTTCAAAATACAAGCAAATTAAAATAGTTTTACTTTTAAATGTGCTTTTAAACTTTCCAATGAACTAGATGATCTCTACTTGCCTAATCACATGCTGGAAATAAACGCACTATTCTTTCTGAGTCTGTGAAATTAAAAAAGCATTTAACTTACTAATTAAGCAATAAATACATTTTTCCAATATTTTAAAATAATGACTTATGTATGTCATATAAGTAATAATTTAACTATCGGCATAAAATTATAATTAGTTTCAGATAAAATACATTCTAAAATAAAAGTCAATGGCTATTATCTTTACAAAGTATATAATTAGGGTCAATCCTCATTATTCAAGAATCAATTATAGCCGGAACCGGTTTGGCTCAGTGGATAGAGCGTCGGCCTGCGGACTGAAGGGTCCCAGGTTCGATTCCGATCAAGGGCATGTACCTGGGTTGCGGGCACATCCCCAGTAGGAGATGTGCAGGAGGCAGCTGGTCAATGTTTCTCTCTCATCGATGTTTCTAACTCTCTATCTCTCTCCCTTCCTCTCTGTAAAAAATCAATAAAATATATATATAAAAAAAAAGAATCAATTATATTTTCTATTTCTATGAATTGCACATTGTTAAAGATTACATTTTTGTCTTCTCCAAATCCATATAAATCTATTCACATAACAGACGCTCAGGCTCAGCGAAGACCCAAACTTGTGGAAATAAATCTCTGAAGAAATATATTAATTTACTTATAAAACAATTGTTTTTCTTTGATTAAGCTATCATTATATACCTCGTGTGTCATCTTCCTTAAATTTCATTTTTGATAAATTAGTGTCTGATCTTCGTAGAACTATACCCAATCCATCTTCTAGTTCACTCAAAAGATTCTGAAGTTTGGGATCAAAGTCTCTACTCCATTCCTGATCCTAATAAAAACAGACAAGAGCAAACATTGATGAAAAGCTTGCCAATCAAATTGACTTCCTAAAACACTACCAAAGAACTAAGCCCACATATGCTTATTTCACTCAAAGCTTGACACCACCTCTGTCTCATTAAGGGAGAAAAAAAGTCATAATGGCAACATAAGAGCTTACATGGATTGAATTTCATGCATTTCTCCAATTTTCATCAAAGCTTACTTTAAAACTTTTTTAATTAAAAGAATATGCACTTTAATTAAAAAATTAAAATACTAATGATATTAACAGCATATAAAGTAATACTTACATTTCTATTTATGAAAGTTTTATCAAAATCATCTAAGGTAAAAAAAAACAACAATGACTATACAGCTACTTTACTCACCTTTAACAACATTGGTGCAAATACCTGCCGTACTGCTTGATAAAGGGAATTTATAGGCGATTCTAACATAGATGAAACAAGAATGTTGTTATGTAGGTTCTGATCGGTAATCACTTCAGGTCTCAGCTTGAAAAACACCAGCACTTTATCCTTTGTGTCAGCAGAATCAATCTAAAGTGATAAATAAATAATTTTTAATGTTATCTTCATAAAAGTTAATTTTTAAAAGAAATGCTCCCTAAAATATTGTGTCCCTGTAATGTTATCCCTTGGGGAAATAGTTATATAAACATAATGATATCGCATATTACAACCAATCTATCTCCGCTCCTTAAGAATAAGACCTGGGCTCTGCCCTGACCGGTGTGCTCAGTGGTTAAAGCCTCAGCCTGCACTCTGAGGGATCTCGGGTTCGATTCCCGATCAAAGGCACGTACCTGGGTTCCAGGTTCAACTCCAGCCCCAGTTGAGGTGCATGCGGGAGGCAACCCATCAATGTGTCTCTCTCTGTGTGTATCCCCCCCTCCCTTCCACTCTCACTATTAGATTCGGTGGCACAGTGTCCTCAGGAGAGGATTAACAACAACAGAAAATGGAAACTTGGCAAATTGGATATCCATTCACTAACTTAAAAAAAAAAGAATATAATTGTTCTGTTCGGGAAACCTCCTTTGGTCAGGTGGGATGCAAGCCGCTGGGATGCAAGCGTGGAGACAGCCTTTGGCTCCTGGAGACCAGGAAGGCTGGAGAGGGACCGGCGTCGCTGTGGGTCAGATGGGGGCGTGCAGGGGCTCAGGGCAGGGTGCAGGGAGCCGTACCGCGTTAGAAAAGGACATGCCGGCGTCGGAGCGCTGCACCCGGAGGAGCATCTGGTTCCCGTCGTCCAAGAAGTTGTTGATTTCAGGACTGTGGTGCAGCAGCGGCTGGTCCCAGGGTCCCGAGTCCACTCCAAAGTAATTCTGGGTGGTGGTGAGGATGAAAAGCTTCCGGACGTCCTCGGCCCCGCCCGCCATCACTTGGCAGAAGGGGAGAGGGAAGGGCGCACAGGAAAGAGAAGGAAGAAGAAACCTGCGCGAGGGAAGTGAGGAGCAAGGCTCTGCTCAAAGCCGGAGCCCGCGAGGGCCTGCAACGCTTCGCGGGAGCCCGAGCAGTTGCTATGGCGACGGAGCGCGACGGAGCGCTGCGCGCCGCCGCGGGCGCGCAGGGACGTCCCCTCGGGCGCGCGCACGCCAGGCTCCCAGAGCCCATCGACCACTTCTGCGCGCCTCAGCTGCTCACCGCAGTCATCGATCTCGAGGGATTCCAGCAGGTTTGTGTCAGCTGGCAAAACCCGCCTTTGGTTCTTTCTCCCGGTTTCCCCTAACGCATTGTTAGGAAAGGTACCTCTAGTGGTCAAGTGCTGCAGCGGGACCTGGCTTTGGGAGGGCTGGGTTCTAGGGCTGGGTTCCTCTCCGCCCGCACCCTGAACAAACCGCTCTCGGAGTCGGGTTGCACAACTATAACGTGGAACATACTGATGCAGAATTTTTGGACTGGAACCCGGATTCTTTCGCCGCCGGAGTCGAAGAATGAATCCACGGACAGAAGATGGTATAGCAAAGGTGGAAATTTATTGAAGAACAAGTACAGATTCCCACCTTGAAGCATCCATCTTATATAAAAACTGCTGTTTGAAATTTTAACCCTACTATTTCTGGCTTCTGTAGTGGGTGTAGTTGGGTCTTGAGTGTTATTGTCCCATTGGTGGATGGAGTCTCCTCTCTAGGTGTCTGGTTATGTGGCTCTTTACCACGTTGACCGAACAGCACAAAATACAACCCGACAAGACACGAAAAAACGGCAGTAAATGTGAATGTACTCACAACACTGGTAATCCCAATAAAAGCGACCACCAGAGAATAGAGAATTAGGAGAGAGAAAACAGAGCAAAAATGATATTGAGAAAAGGAAAAAAGGTAACAAAGAAAAGAAAAAAGAAGGGGGAAAGTGTTTTGTGGTGTCACAGCATGTGAGTGAGGGTTAATCTTTATGGCAAAACACAGAAGATAGGGATTGATTTACTAGAGACATGAATGTTGACCAATGTATTCCCCTATTCATATTTAGCAGAGTTGCGGGACAGCCAGCAAGGAGAAACCAGTATCCTGATTGATTTGCATGATGTCTCAACACCTAAACAGTCTGATTAGATCATCAGTGGTGTGGTGGTGGAAGGCGGGGAGTAAAAGCATCTGGAATATTCTTTTTTCTTTTAGGTTTTATTATAGGAAATTTTCAAACATATTCAAAAGCAGAGCAAATGGAAATCTCATGTCCTATCATCTACTTCAAAAATTATCCACTTAAAAATTATTCACTTATACCAATGTTGTTTCATCCTTACCTGCACCCACTCCCCCTTCCTTCATACTATTCTGAAGCAAAGGGGACACGCTTTCAAAATGTAGGCTCCTTCTGCTGCTCTTGTAACAACCACATGGCCTAATCAAGATGATGGCAAAATATAGATCCCTGGAAACACTGTCTGCTTGTATTATATATCATCCAGATTTGTGTTTGATACTTTCTTCTTGAAAACAGGCATGCCACATGTGTGTGAGCCATGACCGCGGTGGGATGGTGGAGCAGGTGAGTGGGCAGTGCCAGGCTAAGGCGGGGTGCCAGGCAGGGCTACGGGGCTGCAAGGAGGAATCCTTTCAGACATTGCTCCTTATTTCCTTGCCTTTTCTTCAGAGCCCTTTATTGATGATTTGTGAAGATCTGTGAGCTGGGAGATATATAAACCAAGATAAATATGAACCACGAAGGAGGTCAGGTTAGTGAGGGGAAACAGTATCTATTTATTTATTAATTTCTTTTTATTCATTCACGCATTCATTCAGACCTGCAAGCATCAACTGTCTACGTGTAGTAATCCCACTCCGTTCCTGATGCCCTTTCTTCTCCATCCTTAGCCTACCTCTGGCTCTTCCCTGCCTTCTCCTGGAACCTGAGGAACAGTTTATCCGGTGGCCTCTTCGCCCCAGGAGTGGAGGAGTTTCTGTCATGCTTGTGGGTACCCATGGATCTGTTTCCTAGAAAAAGGTCCCAGAACCTCAACCTCAAAGTGACACCTCCATCCCATCTCAGTTCAGATTCCCTCCTACTGCAAAGCCTCCCTGATTTAGTCAGAGACTGAGTGCTCCCCCTCCTCTGCCCTTTGTACCTTTCTCAGAGGTGGATTATATCCTTTTCCTTAAAGAGTCCTTACCTCCCATAAAACTGTATAAGATTTAGGACCCACAAAATATGGATCCATCTCTCATCAGCAATAATCATATTTTCCTGGGATTATTGACTCACATATTTTGGATTCCCAGCCTAGCGCAGTATCTGCCATATAGTAGTTGCTCAATCCTATACAATAAAAGCCTAATATGCAAATTGTCCCCTTGGGTGAGAGTTTGACCAACCCGGAATTTGACCACTCGCTATGATGTGCACTGACCACCAGGGGGCGGTGAAAACATGGTGGGTGTCAATGATGCAGTGCTGGCAGTTGGCAGCAGTGGAGGTGTTGCTGGCCCCTATTGGCCCCGTTGAAAGCAGGACCGCAGTGGGATGGTGGAGGAGGTGAGTGGGCAGTGCCAGGCTAAGGCAGGGTGCCAGGCAGGGCTACGGGGCTGCAAGGCCAGGGGCGAGAGCTAGGGCCCAATCACTGCAGGCCACCCTGAGGGACCCCACCCGTGCATGAATTTCGTGCACTGGGCCTCTTGGAAATATATAATACACGTTTTCAGGAATTTTGTCTGCAGGTCCTTCTTTCACTGGGCATTTATTATTATCAGTATTTATAATTTAAAGTGAGGCTGACATGTCTACCAAACAGAAGTTAATTTGTTTTTCAGGAGAGGAACCTCCTAGGATGTCATGACTGTGCTTTGTGCCTCCTGTATCAATCCCAGTTTCATCTGATTTGCTCATGTACAGGAAGCTGCCCTTGCCTCACTGGGTTAAACAGATCGCTCCACAGACACTTAAAATTGACAAGGGCCTGCCCTGCCTGCATTGCTCAGTGGTTGAGCATGACCCATGAACCAGGAGGTCACGGTTTGATTCCCAGTCAGGACACATGCCTGGGTTGTGGGCTTGATCCCCAGTGTGGGGCATGCAGGAGGCAGCCATCAGTGATTCTCATCATTGATGTTTCTATCTCTTCCTCTCCCTTCCTCTCTGAAATCAATAAACACACACACACACACACACACACACACACACATATATATATATATATATATATATATATATATATATATGTATATATATATTGACAAGGACCTTAGTATCAACATCTACTTGGAGTCAACTCTCGAAGAGAACTTTTTTAAAAATTAAAGATAACATTTTAATTAAAGCAGTGCATGTTTTTTGCAGTAAAACAGATAAACAAGGAAAGAGAATAAATACCATAAGTCCACCACTCAGAGAGAATAATTTGGTATACATCCTTTACCTCTACATATGTATCTATGCCTATTTATTTTTATAAAAAGGAATCATACTGTACGTATATTATGAACTTCTTTCAGCATGTAACATATTTAAATAATGAAATAACTTTTAAAAGCTTTTTATAAAATTGATTTGTATTCTCTGACAAAATGTGCTATCTTGTTCCAGTCCACACAGTCCTAGGTAATATAAATACTATACACAGGTAATGTGTTATGTGGATGTAATATATGTATATGTACAAAGATGTAATATACATGTATATGTGTATATAGATGTAATATAAACGATAAGACTATGCAATTATAGGCGGACTTTTATTTCAAGGACATGACGCCACTTCGCACAACTCTAGAGGGCACCATTCATTTAGACTCTGATGGTCAGTGAATATTTAACCATAAAAGTTCAAGATTGGCTTGTCGGGTCTTCTGGCTAGGTAAATTTCATAGGTAAGCGTTTTGAAATGGAGAAAAGTTCAGTTAGGAGCGGTTAGTAAATAAAAACATTTTATTTATTTCTAGTGAAAAACCGTGGGGAAAAAAGCAAGCTTTGAAAAGTACAGAAAAAAAAACGCGTCTACTAAGTTTGCCACCTACGAGACGCCGTGGAAATTTCCACGCTAGGAGAGTTGCGGTGCCTCCTGGGAGTTGTAGTTCTACTGCCGTCTTCCTTGCAGCGGTCAGGGCCCCGCGAGACTTCATTTCCCAGTAGGCTGCGCACCCCGGCTGCTGGCGGGACCGGCGCTGCCGCGCTGGCTGCGGAGAGTGACTTTGTGAGCGTCTGTCCCTGTCGTGGGAATGGCTTCGTTCGTGACGGAAGTTCTGGCACACTCGGGGAGTCTGGAGAAGGAGGATCTGGGCACACGGATCAGCCACCTGACCCGGCGGGTGGAGGAGATCAAGGTGCCGGCGGGGAAGCCGTTGGCTGACTAAAAAGGGACGCGGGATCCTTGTGTGACGGGACGGAGAGGAGCTGGGCTGAGGGCGGACAGCGTGGGTGCGGCCGAGTCCGGTGAGGGGCCGGGTGGGAAGAATGAGGGGCAGAAAGGCTGGATGTCCGTGGGTTGGGAGGAGTTTGGAGGGGAGCCCAGGGAAGTGTGGGGGCCGGGGCGGCCTGGGTCGGTGGAGAGGCAGCGGCGATGCGGGGGAACGTCCGTGAGGAGTTAGGTTGGGAGCGACGGGGCAGGGAGCCGGAGAGGGACAGAGGCGACCGGGAGTCGGAGTCGGCGGCCGCCGGGGGTCCGCGGAGGAGCGTGTGGGAGGGAGAGACGCGGGTCAGGACTCCTCTCCGCCCGGGAGCGCTCGGTTCCTGCACCCCCTCTTCGTACGGGCTGTGGGTGAGGAGAATAGCTTTGTAGGACCGCGCCATCCTCCTCGCCGAAACTTTCCTTGGTGACAGCTCTCCACCTGTTTACCTCTTCCCCGTCCCCGCTAACACCAATCCTCATGTTTACCTCTTCCCGGTCCCCGGGCCTGAGGCTGTGCCGAGGGTTAAAAACGCGCGGATGGCTCTCTGGGGCCCTGCTGTCTGGAGATGGAGACGGACCGGAAGGCGCGCAGCCCCGCGCAGTGGCCCCTGGTGCCGCCGCGGGGGCCGGGGGTGCGGCCCCGAGCGCCGCGCACATCGGGGTTTAGGGCG